TCTTTTATTTTCATAGTTTCTCCAGCCAAAGTAGAACTTAAATAACATTTTTTAATGACTTCTCTATGGAATCTGAATTATTCTCCCGGTTGCTGTCAGTGATAAAATTTCTGTTGATTCTAATATGATGAAATAGGGTCTGTTAATTCTCCACAGCTGCGCTATCTTGCAAATCTTTGCATGTGGAGCAAGCACATCTGGCTGTCTGCTAATGTTAGATTATAAACAGTTTGATGGGAGGTGTTTGGCTTGTACATGGCTGGCCAACAGCTCGCTGCCTTAATGGCAGACGTCAGTGAGGGGGGAACAAGCCTTCATATGCTTTAGAGGAACAGTTAAACTGTTTTGACTGATAAGATTCATTCACCTCATAAAAGTTATTTCTCACTACAGACAATTGCGAGTGAGATCAGAAGTAGTAATATGTTGGAAAAATAACCTTTCATCAGTTTTGTGAGGCATGTGTTTGCAAGAATGGCAGATTGAAGTGAAAGATGTTTATTAATTTATATGAGGAAACAAGTTGCATTAGCTTGCTTTATGTTATAAAAAATATTAGATGTCATCCTCTTCGAACTTCTTAAAGTATCCACTGAAACTCAGTATGATTCTGGTGAACTTCTCCTTAGCACTAAACTTTACATAAATATTTAAAAAGATGAGTCTAGTGGGGTGCCTAACTTACTGAGCTTTTTTTTAAATTGGTTATCATGCACAAAGTACACTAACTTCAAGAATAACTCTTTTACTAGTTGCAAACAGTAAATACATCTAACAATCGTGTAAACATTTTTAATCTGTATTATGTATTTGATGTTAATGAAAACTGAATAAATTAACACTTGTATTAAATTACATATAGGACTGATACTGAATGATCTGAAGGGTAACTGTTACATTATTTTCTGTTTCTCTGTTCTGCAGTTAAATTAAGTATGGGAGCTGTATGAGCCTGACTCTCAGGATCAGTTCTATTTCATGTTGTTATTGCCGTCCTCATCAGCTGGGTCTGCAAGAGGGCCATAGCTGTGGGAGGGAACCTGAAGTGATCAAAGCAATCGCTGACTTTTAAAGTTCCCATCTAGAATTCTGCATCAGTATTGCTTTCCAAAGGAGCCTGAGCTTGAAAAGGGAAGTTTGCATTTGCCAATTTTGCTTTGAAATTTTTGTTGCAGAAGCTCTTCCACAATGAATATTTATATTATTCATGCCGCAGCTGTACTGAATTCCTGATATAACAAATAGTTGTTCTGTGTGTTTGTGTGAGATTTGGTGAGAAAAATCTGCTGAAAAGACCATAATGAAATGGCGGTCTCCCCGCTTCATGAGAATGGCGAATGAGTTTAGTTATTTACGTTAGAAGTCCTGGAGGTGGCAGCGCATCCATCGTGTGCTGGGGATTCTGCAAACACACAGACCTTCGTCACGTTGAGCTCGTCGTCTAAAGTCTCCCCATTGCAAATATACACGTGTTTGCTTAGCTTAACTATTATGAGTAATGCCATAGTAACTCATACCTAGTATTGAACAAAAGACAAAGATAGGGCAGATCACACACGAAAGGTACATAGCAGGTGAAAAAGCAAGCAATAAAAAGCCTCCAGTGAATACACTAGCTGTATGTTAAACCTGTATTGCATGGTCATTCTTTTGCTATAATTAGGAAGCAACTTGTTTTGATTTGAAATTCTGGTAATACTTTGCCCCAAAATAGATCAGTCTAGTTAATACAAATATTTGGAATATTTGCTATTAATTGCTGTTTTTATTACTGTTACAAAAAATAAATAAAATTAGAACTCTTGTGAAGATCAGACATGAAATGTATAAGCAGTTGTAACCAAACGTTGACGTTATCTGAATAAAAAAAGTAGAACTGCAGTTAACAGAGATATAAATATATATCAGATACAAACAATGAAACCCATGGCATGGTCTCATCATCTCCTACTGATATTAACACAAGCTACAAATCATCTTTGTATTTCTGGGTTAAATGCATCCTCCTGTGTTTTGCTAGGCTGCATAGTTTATTAGTTTATTAAGCATAAACTCTAATTCCGTATCCAGCTCAAAACTGCTGAGAGCAGTAGAAATTTCAGTAGCAATGCTTAATGTCAAAACCAATACTCATCTGGAAGACAGCGCGTTGTGAACGACTGGTGGAATTCTGGTTGGTTATATTCCATAAATCTTGGTATGATGCTCGTGATGTCTCCATATGCTTCAGGTCTTGGTTGTTTATTTCATTTGTAACTTCTTGAGCAAAGCCACTATCAATGTGTTTCTTCAGGTTTTGTCAGTCATTTAAACCTGTGTTTTCAGCAGCTTATCTTTCTATTTGGATATCTGCTTCTCTTCCCCTCCATGGTCAGAAATGGTAATTTCTGATTTGGGAAACTTTACTATAGGCTTACAAATTCCGTGCAATTTCACAGATGCCCCAGCTGTGGCAGAAGCTTACTTTGGTGCTTACGCTTGCTAAGGCAGTAATATGAATTAGCATGAGGTACAAGCCCCTGGGAAAACAGTGTTTGTAGAAGTTATTGTTCACGGAAGATTGGTCTGTTGCGGAGATTTATTGAATACAGCAAAGACACTTTCGCCTTGCTTGGACATTCAGTCAGAGGGGGATAGCTGAGAGGGCAGAGGAATTGACTCAGTTGCTTTTGACATGTCTTTTCCTATCTGGAATCTCAGTCATCTGAGTGGAAATCAGCAAATAAGAACCCGAGGGCAGCTGTTTGCCCTTCTGGAGAAGGGGCTGCCGGCGAGGCAGCGTGCCCTGGGGCATCTTGAAGTGTCCTCGACACCGTTCCACCCCAGGCCTGGCCTGTGGAGCACCAGACTGCTGACACTGAGAATGCCTCTGGAGCTGCCAGTCTCAGAACTAAACAAATATTAGGAAACACGCATGGGTGAAGCACGCTCCGCCGTCTTCTGCTTCACTATGGGCAGCGGTGACCTGTGGTCCTCGTTCCCTGAGCCTCGTCCACATTTGCAGCTCCTGCACTGTGTATAGCGTACCCTCACCTGCTTACAAACTTCACGCCACTTGTGCTGCTGCCTCTTGTGTTGTGCCAAGTATGTGGTGCGTCAATATGCTGGTGTGCACGTACCTGCTATTATCGGCGTTTCTCTTAGATTCTCATCTGACCTTATCTACTTTCTTTCTTGTGCATTGAAACTTGTGGTTACCTTTTTTTTTTTTTTCCTCAGTACATTCACACACCGTTCCCTTTCTGTCTGTTGACATGCGGTATCCGTAACGTCCAAGAATCATTCTTCTTCCTCTGTATGCGTTTTCTGCAGCTGTCACTTTACCAGGGAAGAATGCACCCGGTATTTAAAGTCATCAGACATGTTGCATGAAAGACATCAAATCAATAATAGAGGTTTTGGCTTTGTTATTGCAAAGCCTTGCTCTCCTAGCTGGAGAATTTTAATAGTAGAGAATGTTAACAGCAGATGTGTGTGGTGTTTTGATTTACACACTGTTGTATTCAAGATGGCACATCATATTTCAAAGTCAGTAGCAGATTTCTAATAAGACTTAATTATTGGTAGAGCTGCAAAGTTTCTTTGCAGGAGTATTGGTGACCTTACAGCAACCTTCCAGTACCTGAAGGGGCCTACAGGAAGGATGGAGAGGGACTTTTCACAAGGGTGTGTAGTGACAGGACAAGGAAGAACGGCTCTAAACTAAAAGAGGGCAGATTTAGATCAGATATGAGGAAGAAATTCTTCACCATGAGGGTGGTGAAACACTGGCCCAGGCTGCCCAGAGAAGCTGTGGCTGCCCCCTCCCTGGCAGTGTTCAAGGCCAGGTTGGATGGAGCTCTGAGCACCCTGGGCTGGTGGAAGATGTCCCTGCTCATGGCACGGGGGTTGGAACCAGATGAGCTTTAAGGTCCCTTCCAACCCAAACCATTCTATGATTCTGTGATTCTATGAGTATAGCTTGAGCACATGACTACAGTAAACACGTTTTGAAGTTTTAATAAAATTTAAAACTTCAGAGTTACTATGTTAAAAGCATCTGTAGCCTGGCAAATTTAAGTTCCTTTTGAAACTGCCAAGACTGAAAAATTATCCATACCCCCATGCATTGTGTTACACAGAAAATTGTGTACTTCAGAGGAAAAAGGGGGTTTGTTCTTTCTTGCTAGCATGATTTTGGCATATACAGGTACGTGGTGGGACTTAAATGAACTGTACATCGGTGTGAAAATCAGGCAATTCAAAATTAATGAAATTATTACACAGATGCAGTTCAGACAGGATTATCGTACCCTTCATATATAGTTGGAGGCAAGCAAAACTGTACAGAAGAAAGTAAAGGCATTTCAGTGTACCAATAAAGAAATTTTGAGGTCTCTCTGAAGTATCATGCTTTGTACATTAACAGACGTATGCTTGGTTTTCATTAAAACCTTACTTGGTAAAAATGTGATCTCTAGTAGAAATTCTTTGAATGTGAGCCTTTTTTTATGTAAGGTGGAGCCTAGTTCCTTTAAATCTATGGAATTACTGCGCCAAGCAGCTCTAAGAGAAAAATCAAGCTTTTTAAATTTATCGTGCGTCACTGTGTGAAATTTTTAGTGACATAGTACAAAACATTTGCTCCTATTGATTCATGGGAAGTATCTTATATCAGTATATTTTTTGCATTTTTTCATTATTTTCCATAAGAGGTGATATTACCAAAATGACAATCTCGTGGAAATAGGTACTTAACCTCTAATTTACAGGCTTGTATAGGATGGAGATAAAATGTTTTTTAAAAGTTGCATTTGATAACGCTTATATTTGTCTAATTAGAATTTAATTCTTGTTATTCTCTTGATTGGAAATAGCTATATGAAAGTTTGTTATTTATCAACTACCGAAATTATTGTCTTTCCAAAATGTTATGTGGAAATAATTGGAAAATGAGATTACATGAGTCAATTAGGCCGTTCAATGCATAACTTATTTCTTACAAATTCCAACCTTTTCAGTTTCTTGGCAGTACGGAGGTGGAGCAGCCCAAAGGCACAGAAGTTGTAAGAGATGCTGTTAGAAAATTGAAGGTAAGAAAGCATTTTTAATGAAATATAAATGGGATGTATTCTTAATGTGTTTTCCTAAGAGGTGAGATTCTGTAAGTGTTTCTAGGTATCTTCATTGCTTCTAGAGGCAGTTGCTTTTGTTAACCTCTTCAGTGGTGTGTAGGCACTTCCCTATTGTGTCCATATTATCAGATGTTCTGTTGTACATATATTTAGTTGTCTCCTAGATTACACAACTATTTGTAATTTAAAGTTTATGTGCCTTAGTGCGTAATGATTGAAGCCCTAAAGTTTCCAAAGAATGTTAATCTTAACTTAGGTAGCAACAGTTTGTTTTAGCTGCCGTCCTCACTTTATGGCTGTTGAATGCCTCTACTTACGGCACTCCAAACGTGTTGCCAGAGAATTTAAGAAAATTAAGTCTTCCTTGGCCAAGTAGCTAGTCACTTCAGCAACGTCTGTCCTGCATTCCTCTGGGCTGTGCGGTGCTTCTGAGGAGCCCCACTTAGGCAAGTTACCTCTCCTTGCAAGGGTACCCACCCAGGCAAGGTAAGCTGTTGGTGCCAGAGAGCAGCAGTAAGGATGTCAGACCACGCCAGAAGTGGGCTGTGACAACTCCGTGGGTGCTGGCTGGCCCTGACTGCCCCTTGTCTAAAGCTAACGTGTCTGATCCGTGTGAACTCTTGGAGGTGAAGGCTTATGACACTGGCATTAATGTTGTTCACCCTCCAGCTGTGGTAATTGGTGACGTATCTGGAAATAGAGCTGCGGTGAGACAATAGGGTTTACAAACAAATACGAAACTGTGTATGACCAGGGATGTTACTGCCTTGTTCTTCAGGTCTTCGTGTTGCATGGAAAAGGTCTGCATGCACAAACACCCATCTGTGTGCTGGTGCACAGTGCCAGGAGGCTGAGAAAGTCAGATATTTACAGTTTCTTCTTGGTGCTGTGTCCTTGGGCACTGAGGGACTCGGCAGACAATTAAAGCATCCTAGTGAAATAATTTGTTGAGGATTGCTAATTGATAACATGGCTTTGATTTGACTGTTTGAGTGACAGGTAAAATGCTTAAAGCTCTTCAAATGCTGAGTTGTGATAGGGAGCGCTGGCTTGATTTGTCTGCTGAATCCCATGGCAGGGGAACTGCACTGTTTCATGCTTAGCTGCTTAGAGCTGTTGGGGCATTAGTTTATTTCGATGTAAAAATGATTTTGCCTAGTATTTTACTTTCATAACTTTTTGTTGGGTTTTCAATATTCATTTAAACAGAAATTCCTTGGAGATGGACAGAAAATTTTAGGAATCAGTACTGAAAAACTTCGCTCTGTGTTCTTTCTATAATAAAAAAAATGAAAAAAGAAGACATGAAACACTATTCATGTAACTCAGCTTTTAAGATTGAAGTTTCCCTTGAAATAGCTGTCTTTACGAGATTCATTAGTAACTGTGCTGAGGTATTGAATCAGAAGTTCTTTGCCATTATTTTTGCTCTACGAAAATAGTACAGCTGCCTTGAAAGATTAGCTTAGTCAGTTCTTAGAATGTTTTGTGCCAAAAAGATTTACTGTGCTGCAGTTTGTCAGGGCACTGTTGCCTAGTTGTTTTCAGGTACATTAGGCTAATAATGTGAGCATGACCTTTTTTTAACCATTGCAGCACGCTACCAGTGGAAACAAAATGTATGGTTTTGGGGGTACCTCGTGCAGTTTACAGCTAATACTGGAGGGAAGAGTGAAGCCTGATGTGTTAGATGTTTTGTGTTTATAAAATTCCGTTACCCTGAGCAAAGTTAACTCTGTGCAAACCCTGTCGAGATAATACCCTGCTGTGGAGAAGTTTTGATTCTATTTTAATGATGTTTTATCAGACTCCTCCGAAGTATAGCAGCTGCTGAGTGTCTCAGTGTCACTGGTGGAACTCCAGGCTTACCTGGGCTCTCACTGATCAAGGGAGGGTTTTGGTGGGTTGGATTGTAGTTAGTTTGCTTTGAAAGCAGGTCCAGAAAGGATTTCAAATAGCTGTTCCCTGAAGTGTAGAAAGAGCCAGAACTATTTTTGTTCCTTGGGAAAAAAGAATATCTGTCAGCCTAGCACTGAAATTTGAAAATAGAAATATTTTGTATATTCCTGTGGTGTCATTGGAGTATGTAGATATCTATTCTAACTTTTTACACGTGTTCTGTAAGTAAACCACCTTGGAGATGTGTGTCTGAATCGTTGTTGCCAAAATTGCGCTGTGTTCTTCAAGCTTGGAAGTCTGGAGCTTAGATGTCAAGTCTCATGAGGGATCTTCTATAATCACAAGTTTATTAGAAAAGTCTCAAAATAATTAAAGACAACTTTTGGAAAGACTTCAAAAATCCTGAGACAGAATTTCAGAGAGCAATAAAGAGGTTGTATGTTTGAAACAATCTTCAATTAATTGATTACTCATTTCAACATTGATTTATGTTGTACATCTGCATTCGTTGACGGGAAGCCTAGAGGTGCTGGATTTTATTATTAACCACACAGCTCTAGCTGGTTTTTTTTTTTTGAAAATGTAAATTAAAATTAAACCAGTGAAACCAGCTTGAAAACTAATGTCTTATATTGAAAGAAAACATATATAGTGTTTTTTGGAGTAGGAGAGTTTTTAGAAGATACGGAGCTTGTGATGTTATATTTACATTTTTTGTTATATGGATTTGGTTTTAATCACAATGTTGTTAATCATAATTTGGTTTTAATGAAAATTAATAGCTAGCAGAAAACCAGCTGACTCTTAATATTTGGAGCTAGTTTTACAACTGGCGTGCATCACACTAATAACCTTTTGAAGTCATGGGCTGACAGTGATATATAGCCCATGAAATACTGACACTGTAAAGTATTGTTCTTGAGCCATCATGTCATCAAACTGTGTCAGAATAGACATTTGATACACAACTGTTTACTTCTTTAAATCAAAAGCTCTTAACTCGCAGAGCACAAAGACTCTTCGCTTGCCACACGCAGGAGGTTTTTGCAGAACTGTAGCATGTCATTCCCTGAACTTACTGTTACCAGCAGGTGGAGCTGATGATCTACAGTAAAATACAATACCTTGGAGGAAATTTTTCTTGATGCTTCATTGTACTTGCTTTGTCCTAAATACTACTACTACTACATTTTCTATACACTTGAGAGCTTTGTTGGGTCAGTCGCAGTTTGAATATACAGTTTTCTCAGACGTCTATATTTAATTTTTCTGGAGGGTTGTCCAGTTGTTTTAGCTAGTTGGGATTTTCCCTCGTGTTTTCAAATTTCTTGGAGCAGCACTGGAGGAGAAAGAAGAATGTTTTAAAATGTGTATTTTTATTTCTAAGACAAGGTGAACTGTTCTCATAATTTATTACAAACAATTTTTTCCTTCCAGTTTTGTAGTCAAACTAATTTCAAGAATGAAAAACTAAGGAAAATGGTACCAAGATGTTGGATCGGAACATGCCTACGTTATTCAAATGTGTAAATGTTGTCAAGTCACACTTTATTTTATAAAGTGAAATGATTACTTTCCTTGATTAATGGAGGGATATAACTTCTAAAGCTGACTGTAGGAATGAATTGGGTCCTTCTCAAGAAGTGGTTGAGGGGTTGCCAGAGGGGAGAGCAGGTGGAAAGATCAGCAAAACAGATGGAAAGGGCAGCATAACCAGACCACTAGTAAGGAAACGACATGGGGGGGTGTTACAGAGAAAGCAGAAGTAAACACCGGAGTTTAGAACTGTTCCTTTTGCAGTCCATAAAGGGATGTGTTTGTGAGGACCAGACTTAAGGCTGTTCTCTTACCAAGCTTCCAACTCAGTCTGCTTTTCTCCTCTTCTTTTCTTCTGTAAGTGTAGATGACCAGAGATAATGTAAGTAAAACTAATCACTTTGAAGCCACTTGAAATAGTCTTCATCAGCTCCTTGACCAGTATGGATACACTAAGTGAAGAATGCTCTTTCACACGCCTCCACCCATGCTGTGACACTGTCCTGCTGCTGCTCTTCATGGATCATCAGCGGATATTGTTCCGAGCTCCCTTTCTTGCTAAAGCTGGGTTTCATTTGTCCTTGAAAGGACAGAAGAGGGTGGAGTTCAAAAAATCTTTTAATATTGGGCTAAAGAGGTTTCCAGTCAAGCCTTACAGCCATGACTGTTCTCTTTTCTGGAGAAAGCAGAATGTGTGGTTTGGGACCAGCCAGGGACAGCTTGAAGACCAAAGCAGATCAGATGAGAAGAGCTGAAGAAGAGAATACATGTTGATCCTCTCTCTCAAACCCAAACAAAGCCCAACCCAAAAACACACCACCAGAAAAACCCAACAGACCCCCAGTACCCCACACCACCAAGCAAACAACAAAAACCCCACAACCAAACCAAACAAATAAAAAAAATCCTCCCCCACCCCCCAAAAACCCACAACAAACTCTTCAGAGAGCGAGAGATGGAAAAAAGACTGTACTGCATTGTCTTGTACGCTGTGGTTAATGCATCATTAGACTTCCTCTCAGTCCAGTGTGTGTTTGGAAAATAAAATACAACATATTCCATAGAAATGGATTTCTGAGACAGGCTTTTCCCTACCCATTGATTACTGAGAGATTAAATGTCGCAGATCTGTGGCCTTTTCATCCTTTTCCTCTTCTTGACAGCTCATTTTCAGAGGTTATAATTTCCTAATGGCCACATAAAACATGCATGAGAGTTTGGACCGTAATATAACCAAAAAGATGATGTGTAGTCACTGAATAAAAAACAGGGCCTATTTTTTTTTTTTTTTCAGGCATCTTTCCTGATAATGAATGTTGTTACAAAAAAAAGAGGAAAAGCATCTTCTCAAAGCCAGGTGTAAAGCTGTGTCTCAACTTAGACAGCTACGTTGCCCTCAAACAGACTTAAGGTGTCCACGTGAAGTGCAGTGTCCGCTGTCTCACTGCAAGCCTGCATAAAATAAAGGAGTCGAACAGCTGTTCCCTGGGCTGAAGATTAGCACCCGCATCACAGAAATGCCTACCTTTTGAGGTTTCGACGTTTTTTAATAAACTCTTGAATTGTACAGTGAGGTGTAAATACGAAAGAAAAGCACATGGTTTTGATTTGCATAGCTTAAATTGATTTTGGTAGAATTTTAACCATTACTTTTTTAACTAAAGCTCCTGGCTGTTTTTAAAATACTTTTTTTTTTTTTTTCCTCGTGCTATTTTTGCTGATTAATCCGCTGGTTGTGGTTTGCTAAGACTTGATACATAAGCATTTCAAATGTAGTAAGAGTCTCAAAGTATGCGATTTTCACTGCTACTGTAATACCAGACAAGATCCATGGAAGCTTTTTCTTTTTTTATTTTTAAATCTAAATTAAACCATAACAAATAGATTTATTTGTATCTGTTACTTTCCCTAAAAGAGTCAAGAAAGATAAAATGTTAATTCCAAAATGGTTAATTAAAAGCTAGCCCATCCCACTGAGCTGCTCATATTATTAATGGGTCAGATCTGGGTGTCTCGCCTGAGAACAATGTATGTATAAACTAACAGCTTAAGAATTTGGCCCATTGAATCTCTTCCCAAGCCATGCTGTGATTCATTATAATTTTATATCATTGTCTATTTTGATGCCAATGGGAGGCTACAGATTTTTACCCTCTTAAATAATCTTTTTTACTGTGTGAGCTACAAATATTACTTTTTTTCAAATGCGTGCTGAAAGGAGAAAATAATGATTGTTAATCTCCCTGGTCCTGAGGTCCCTCGGGGTCCCCTTTCGGTAGGGGGAACGGGTAGAAAAAAGAGAAGGGAAAAAAGGCAAATTGGCTGATACCTGCCTAAGCGTTAGGATCTGCTGTTCAAACTCTGCACAAGTTTGGGAGGTGGCTGAGCTTGGCGTGCTGGAGAAGGTCAGATACAAAAGAGATTACTGATCAGTATCTGTATGTTATCTGTTATTACATCGAACAGGGAGTGGGCGGGGAAGGCAGGAGAAAGTCACTGCACTAGATTTGCTGAACTTAGCTACGTGTACTTTTCAGTCACTGTATCCCAGTAAACCTTTGATTAAAAAGCTTCTTAGTGTCTCTGGATAGCTGTTTTGAAGAGATTCTTTCCTGTTTCTCTTTCACCATTAGCTTGTTTTTGGTTTGATGGAGTTTCTTATAAAGTGGGTTTCCAGTCCTCCTGCTAACTTTTGCAAATATCCTGTGATCTTTCTCCGTTTTGTCAACATCCTCCTGCATTTGAAAACCTCAGACCATAAAACTTGAGCAGTTCCTCACAAGCAGCTGATGCAATGCAGCCGTTGTCGCCTTCAGGATCTTTTTGAAATGTCCAAAGATTGCTTTAATCTTCCCAAGTGTAGTTTCACAAGAAGGTCCACAGTTAGCAGAAAGCCTGCTGTGATGTCAAGACTTTCTTAATTCCATCTTCACAGGGTAGTCTACCAAGAAAGAAAGTTTGTTCCCCTATGTATGATTTGCAGAGTTGGCATTGCCACAGAGGGTGTTTGTTTGCATGCAGGCAAACTTTGGTGGGCTGGTTGGTGAGGCGTTCTTTGTGTTGCTTGCCCCTCCATCAGCCTTCATGACCTGCAAGCTTTCTCTGTAAGGATTTTAGATTTCAGATCGTTAGTTAACTTTTCTCCCCATTTTTTTTCCCTCTTACTTTTTCTGCCTGCGGATTTTATCACTAATTACTTTCCTCCTGGTCAGTGTTCAATAATGTCATGCTTAAGAAATAAACCCGGCTGGAATACATTAGAAACATAGCTTCCCAATGACAATTTCCTGTTTATAACTGCATCTGGAGACTAATGTATCTAACTTAACTAAGACTTTCTTTGTATTGCTTCATTTCCTAAATATAATGGCATGCAAAACTCAGTCAGATGCTTTGTCTATTTTGACAAGCTGCATTTTTTGTCAAGTCTATATTGATCATCATTAATTCCATCTCACTTGAATTCTCTGGTTCTTAAACTTGTTTTGTGCCTTTTGAGAGTGGAGATGTGGTAGGGTCATTTTGTTCACCCTTTTTTTAGTATTGGCACAGAGTTATCTTCTGGAACTTCCTTGGTGGTGTAAGACTTCTTGACTACTTGGAGCAAGCTTTGGCCAGCTGTTCTAAAACTTGTGCAAGTTATTCAGTTCTACTTAGTTTAAAAAGTCTTCCTCTTGTAGCTGTTGTTCAGGACCCTGCTGAGATGATTACAGTTGGAAAACCAAGCATTTAGTCATTGTTCTCAACATAAACTATGGCTTTAACTCAGTAATATCAAATCTTGTTTATGCCTCCTCGTCATTAGTGCACAGAACCACTTGTGTGCATCTTGTTTATAAAGGGACATTTCCAAAAAGCCAGGGTTCACTCAAGTTCAAGGCTGTTTCAATCCGAGGTGTGCCCCAGGATTACCTATTGCATAGGTATGTTTCTGTGCGCTGTAAAGTACGCTGGGAACTGAGATGCCCAAACTGCCCAGACGATCCGTGGGTTTCGTGGCCATTCCATGTAACACCTAGCAAAGTGAGCCAAGTGCAGAGCCCTGTTGGACGATGAAAATGGATCACATATGTCCTCAAAGTTTTGTCCAATAAAAGGGCATAATCAAATTACAAATCAGAAAGGAAAGCTGGTGGCATATCGGTATTGAGTAAATATATGAAAATTATCTGGAAGACAATTAGTTTTATATTCATCTTGGAAAAAAAAATCTGAGCTAATGCAACATTGATTGGATTATCGTTTTGCTGTTTTTTAAAGCAGAGACTTAAGTATCAAACAGGTTAAATGGGTAGTATAAAACTTAAGTCAGATTTTGGGGGGTTCTTACTCTTAGTGATTTTTATTAAAGAAAAAATATTTTCTTCCTTTACCGAATTTGAATTGTAATAGAAAGTCAAGAAATGCAGTTGGCCAAGATGCCTGTAAACCAGTGGTTAGGTTTTTAAAAATTTGTTTTCTATGAAATTTTTTTTCAATAAAAAATACTTATGAGATCACCTACATTAATTAAAAGAAAGGGATGGGGGATAGTGATTAAAATGTATTAAAAGTATACTGTAACTATGTGCTTAGAGATAAATAGCAGGACAGGAAAAGGATGTGTGTACTGCAAGAACTATATCCCTGATACTGAAGAGAGGCAGAACCAGAAGTTAAGTTAGATTCGCTTAACTTTTGACTGTTGGTTTTCACTAGTTAGTCATCATGTACAGACCTTCATAAAATACTTGGCCAATGACTGTAGCAATCCTAGCTGTTGAAATGTAAAATGGGTATTTAGATTGGAGTTGGCTTTGAGAATGGCATAGAGTGGTTTATATGGGGTTTGTTTTGGTTTGGTTTTTTTTAACTAACTTGTGAAGCATAGAATACTTACCAGCTAATGTGATACATTAATTAGTAATAAACTGGGTAGGTCATGTTACTGTATGAAGTTAATACAATGAATTATAATATAATGCTTACTTACTAAAATGCTCAGTAAGTGTGCTTTCAAAATGAGGAATAAAATTGGTAGGAAGGGAAAAACAGGTTAATTATGTGCTTTTAGGGTGGTTCTTAAAACTAGTTATTAATTTGCCATGAACAGCACTGCCTACAAGCAAAATGAAATAAAATAGATGGAGACACTCATACTGTGTAAAGCAGTTGAGTTCATGAAAAGTTGTCCCAAGTGCTAGTTGCTATAGGAATAGGGACAGAGCAAAAACCCAAACTCTCAACTATCACTGAAAGAAATAATGAATTAAAATCATGGGTTTCGGTGTTTGTGGGGAAGGTATCAGTTGGCTATAGCCAAGTACTTAGCAATTACAAGGTAATTCAGGCTTCTGTCTTCCAGGCCTAACCCTTCTTAAGATAGGTTAACACCCTTGTTGCCATCCTGGACTCTTTATGTCACTAAAAGTCATTGTCCTCACTGACTTTTTATATTGTTTATTTATACTGATGGTGAATTATGTGCTCAATTATACTCGAGCAGGAGCAAGTTTGAGGACGATGTGTTCAAATATATAGGTGCGAAGCAGAGACTGCAACTCCTCTGGTCTTCAGTGAGTCATTGTCCGTATTTATGCATTTGAAAATACAGTTCCAGGCTGTCAAAGACTTGAGAGGAAAAGGGCTGGTAACAGAGCAAAATACCGAGCAATTCTGTATCTTTGCTAAGAAAGTTCCCCAGATTCCTGACACTGCTTAACTGCATTGCAGTAGCAAATTTTAGATGCTCTGCTTATTTTATATGCAGTGTTCATGAGAGAAAGACAAGTCAGAGCTAGCAGCTAGAACAGGAGATATAGAAGGATGGAAAATGTATTGAATAGGACACATTACCTGACCCAGTCATAGAAGAAGTTGCCTAGCCATCATTTAGTGAACTGTTAGCATATGAATCCTGAGAATATGATAGAAGAGACGAAGTGTTTCTTAGGTGTTGACAGCTGTAGTGCTTTCACGCTGAACCTGTGTAAAGGAACTGATTTCCTTAGAGGAACGTATGGGAAGTACCCTCTACGCATGTGTACGGAAGTGGGTGTAGAAATAGTGGGATGTGGAAAACAGTAGGATGTTCACTGCTCAACAACCAAGCAGCTGACAAACTGTCTGAAAGTGTTCGTGTTTCTACTGCTCTCCTAGAAATCTCATGCAGAAGCGTAAGTGCATAAAGAGCTGATAAATTTGCAAGAGAACCAGTGAAGTAATCTAAAATTTTTTTCCTGGAATTATAGCAATATTCTATAGTGTGCAGTCAGAAATGCTATTCTGTGTCCAACTGACTGGGGAATGTTTGGTGTTAAGAGCTTTGTGAAGAAGGAAGGAAACAACTTCAGGTGGAAGGAGTTGAGAAGAAATGAGAAGTAATAAAAATAATAAATTTAAAAAACTTACTATTAATGTGATTGCTATTGTATTTTTCATCTTATAGTTTGCAAGACATATCAAGAAATCTGAAGGCCAGAAAACGCCCAAAGTTGAACTACAAATCTCAATCTATGGTGTAAAAATTCTAGATCCAAAAACTAAGGTAAGAGATTTAGACATTTATGGTACTAAACTAGTAATTAAATATAGTTTTAACTGGTTTTAATGTTTTTATTGTTTTATAATTTAAGAAAGTATTATCACGAAAGCCATTCTGGTGATGGAAAATTCTTCTAAAATACCATTTCTTGTTGCATCACATGGGTGACATCTTCCCAGGAAGGTGCATGGTACCCAAAATAGAGACTGTATCTAATGTGGTATTAAATTGCTAATCCTTTCAAACCAGAACTTTTAAATTCTGAGGCAGATGAAAACACTGTGGTGTACATAAACGTTAACACTGCATATGATAAACAGCTTTCCAAACGGTCACTGTTGTGTAGGTGCCCACGCGTGGGTGTTTGCAGGTGAATGAGGAGCTGATGTGTTTGCAGTGACTCGTTCTTCACGCTGCTGCTTTGGAATTGCATGTCTCTCCTTAACCAGTTCAGTTTTTCCCTCCTTTTCCTGTGTTTTTATTTTTTTTTTTTTATTGTATCCTCCCTCCCTGGAATACTTATGTTTCTCAGGCATGTTACCCATTTCTGAGTAAGCTCCATGTAGCAGGCCATAAGCACTGTTGTAGGCATTTTATCTGGCACAGCATAGCAGTTCCTGCCTTTTCAGCAGTGAAGTGCATTGAGTCATCCCATGGATGGGTTTTCTGTTCCTTTGTTTGCTCTAGTATTTTGGAAGGGGTTACAGAATAGGCAAAACATCCTCCTTGCAGACTTCAAAGAGGAATAATGAGATAAATATAATCAAGAAAAAAAGTACTTCTGCAATAGTCAGCAATTTTTACCATCTGAGTGCTCTTTTATACATATGTTGGATTTGAATGAAATGTTTGTTGCTGCTGCTTAATTCTGGAGTAATTGCTGCCATTCAGACGGTGATACTGCCTTTTGAGAAAAGGTGGCTTTAGTTCGAGGCTATATCTGCTTGCCAACCCATTTTCGCTTCAGACTCTTGATCCAACCACAACTCAACAGTTCATAAGCAGAGGGGGCAAGAAATACCCATGTCAACTGTAATTACAGTTTTTGCATCATCTTTACGTCGTATGGCAGAAAGGGGTACTAAACCCCTTATCCTGGCAAAAACTCTGAAAATAAGTTTTAAATGCCAAAATATGTTAGCCCTCCTAACTCTTCCTGCAGCGATGAACAGAAAGCTGTGGGACAGAGGTTCCTGGGGGAATAGGAGCTTTCTAAGCTCTTGGCAATGTTGTTACTCCAACTCAAATGGTAATCAGCTATGAGTAGTCTTTTTATCTCTCCCACTTTGTTTCTCAAAGCTACATGAAAATTTGAATCAAGTTTTCCTTCTTTTTGCAAAATTTATAGACGCTTTAGGAAATTAAATTCCATGTTATCGTCGCTGATTATGATAATTATTTCTGTGTGTTTTTGCAGCAAATCACTTCAATATTGTTACAGAGGAATATTGGTTTATATTCATGTGATGACTATTAATTGTGGTAGGAACAGGAACAGGCGTCCTGTTCATCTGTCAGGACTTGATTCTGTGCCTGGCACTCAAAAAAGGAGGATTATAGAAAAGTGGCTCCATCGTTAAATGATGTACAGTAGTGACATGGACCTGTAAACCTAAAAGAGCCAGAACAAGCATATGTTGTTATGTGTAACTGTTACAGAGCTACAACAGAAAGAGATGAAATGTGAGAAAGATTTGGGGATATGGAGAAATAGGGTACATGGAAGAGTGGCTGTAAAGACTGGAAAAGGGAACCCCGCTAGGGCAAGGGGAGAAGATTGGCCATATGGTACGTTTTTTAGAGACGGTTGTGTGCGGAGAAGGCATGCACTTGTTTATGAGCTTACGGCAATCCAGGAGCCCCGGTGCTGCACAGAAACTTCATTTTTTTAAATAGATAATAGTTCGCATCTAAACTGCATATTTTCCTTTAAAGTAAATACTGCTTTCCCATGTAATAAGCCAAATAAAATAAAATACCAAGAAGAAACTTGTTGAAGACAAACAACCACAAAAAATGAAAAGTTGAGATGGTTTATTTTAGTCTCTCTCAGCTGAAGAGCATTGCCACTGCAACTTTTTAAATAGCTGGAATATGCTTATTAATGGAAAGGGAAATACAGCATAGAACATATGCAAGTAATAATGTTTAAAAACTATTTATGTTACACCTTAAGTAAGCAATCGTTTAGAAGTCTGATTTATTTCTCTGTGCCCCCTGTATTTGGATGAGAAGGTCATTTTATTTCTGTTTTCTATATTTAAGATGGAAAGGTAAGGACTTACTTCAGTAAAACCATTGTAACAAACCGTGGGAGATGATGAAACCTGGGGATGGTGTGTGCCTGGAAAAGGAGCAGAGGGTTTACAAAATCAGTCCCTAAATAAATTGCACAGGGATGCAAAGCAGCAGTAAAATCAATTTTCTAGAGTAGAAATAACTGCCCAAATAAACACTTCCAGATAAATACTGTCCAGATAAACACTTCCTGCTTACACTCAGTAGGAATGGGAGCATTTGTTAGGAGATGAGTTTGCTAACTGCTGTTATACTTTAAGTCCATTTTTGGCCACTCTCCTGTACAATGAGAGACATTCAAAAATGTTACTGCAATTTGACTGCTTTTACGTACATGAGGAAATCCAGAGATTTGTGCATCTTCACCCTAAGCAAGTATAGTAATTTCTTGAAAATAATCTTTATTTGCAGGAAGTCCAGCACAACTGTCAGCTCCATAGGATATCATTTTGTGCCGATGATAAAACTGACAAGAGAATATTTACTTTCATATGCAAAGACTCAGAATCAAATAAGCATCTGTGCTACGTATTTGACAGTGAAAAGTGTGTAAGTATGCAAGGTGCTTTAAAAGAATTTGAGTGACACTTACAGATTTTGATTGCTCTGCTTTGAAAGAAAACGGGAATGGTTAATAAAGGCAGGTAGCCTGCCTCTGAATTGGGGTCACTGTCATATAATCTTTCATGCCAGTGTAGTGTCTTGTGACTTTGATGCATTGATTTAAAGGAGAGCCATTTTCTTTACTGACACAAGGTGGTTTTCTGGGAGAATTCTTCCTGCTACCCAGCTCGATATCCTAGGCCAGGCATCTGCAAAGCTCTCAGGATGGACTGCATCCCACCAAGACTGATGTGTTTGCACAGCTGTTTTGCAGAGATTGCTGCAACCCTGTGGCTGAGATACCCTCACAGGCTCCTCTGCTGATGTGTCTGCCTCAGATGGTTTTTTTTTTTTTAATTGGGTTTGTGGTGGTTTGATTTTTTTTTTTACAGCAAGGTTCCCCCTTCTGTGCCGTCCTCCCCGCCCTTGCCACGTCTCTCAAGTTTGTTCATGCCGTGATGCACTACCAGAGAATTCATTGCACTGACCGCTGACATTCTCGCGTGTCTGAGATAGAACAGGGCAACTGTTCAAAAATGTGCAACAGAGAAAAAAAAAAACACTTTAGGACAGGAAATGAAGAAAATGGTGTCTAGCTGAAACTGGGTCGTGTGTTTACCCTGGCAGAATGTAATTAACAACCAAAAACACTGGAGTCGACACCGAAAATAGATGTTTAGGGTTTTTTGTAATCTCGAGCCTCTCTTTTTGATTTATTCTGAAGTAGCAGAGTTATCATACAAAGGAAATACTAAGGGAACATTTTTTTAAAAGGAAAAAAAATGCATATTCACTTCAATTTATATCCAGTTAGGTAGTGTTGTGTGATACTTCAGAGTGTTTGAGATGATTTTATTGTTCACCTGCGTTGCTCCAGTGCCTTCAGTAGATATTGTTCAGAATTGCTGTGCACATCTGTTCGTTTCTCTTCAAATTTCTATCCTGAGTCTCCTTTTCACACATTCCCATGATTTTAAATTGCCCTTGCGGTCTCTGCGCTCTAGTACTATTTTTATTCAAGACAAATACTTCTTCAACAAGACCGTTGTGTCTGCTCTCTAACCTGGTATTTCATTTAATATACTTTCTTCCTCTGTTCTGCTCCTTGTTCATTAGTACTCGCAGATATCGAAGGGTCCCGCCTCGGTTGGTACCTTTCATTTCAGTCAGCGCTCATCTTTCCAGGAAGACAGGACTGCATACTCCCAGTGTCTGTTACACTTTTCCTTTACTAACATCAGCAGTTATTCTCTAAAGCAGCCCTAGTTCACCTTTTTTAGTGTAATTCAGTCTAATTGGGGTAGTATCATTTCTTGTGATTTTTTTTTTTTTAATAAAGATGGCCATATGGGATTTTTTCACAGTAAAGTGATAGAGGGGTTAGTTCCCTGTTTTTCGTAGAACTCAGGTCTTCATACACCTCTACTGAATGACTTGACTGGTGCACTGATGAGTAAAAAGCTGCGAGCATCCCGTTTTGTGTCATTATTGTGCATCCAGCCCTTCATGTTCTTACAGGTAGTGAAGTAAAAATGTTCTCGGCATTGAGCAGGATGCTTTGCTTTCATGAGAATCAACCAATGTCAGGTTTTTATTTCAATAAAGAAGAGAAAATTCCAGTTTAGCTTTAGCCAGATTAATGTTTTTTCAACTTTTTTTGTTCCCCTGCCAAATTGTTTTAAACAAAAAAGAAGTTACTACTTAATGTGTTTACTTTCTTTGCAAAAGTTGTAAGGCAAATGGCGTATCCATATGTTCACCTTCTTTTGGTGCCTTTTGTAAGTCAGCATTTTTTTCTGAAACCTTGGTGTGCTCAGTCAACTTTTTGTACGCTTATTTTTAGCCCTGTTATTTTTAAAGTAGATTTTCTGCACCAATTGTTTATACACATAATAACATATGATGCGAATCAGCATAGAACTACTAAATTATTATATTTTGCACATACAAATGCAAATTCTGTTTGACTGGATTTTTGTAATCAGAAATACATTTCTCTACAGTATGATGGTGGAGATTTTATTGAGATTTTATAGGGCTTGTGAAAGTAAGTGCTGAAATCCAAATTTAAAAGCAATAGGGGTCAAAACATCCATTAACACGAAAACGTTAATCCATTAAAACTGAAGCAATTTATTTAATGATTGAAAAGGCTGCATTTGCTTCAGAAATCCTCAGAAGAAGGCAATCTGCAGCATGCTGTCTGAACTTATAGAAATTAGAGGCATAATTTATACTAAAAAATAGCTAATTGTGTTCTGTCTGCTCAGTCTCCCTTCATCCAAAGAATTTTGATTTGCTTTTATAGCATTACCTGTCAAGGTATTTTGCTGAAGAGTTTTTACCACGCTTCTTTGTAGTGTTGACTTTGTGATGGATGAAGCAAGCTCTTTGAACAAGATAAATAGTGTTAAGTATTTTGTGATCATCTGAAATGAAAGTAATTGTACAAAATATTCTTAATAAACTATTTTCAATCTTATGTTTTATGTAAAGGCGGAAGAGATAACTTTAACAATTGGTCAAGCATTTGACTTAGCTTACAGGAAATTTCTGGAATCCGGAGGAAAAGATGTTGAAACAAGGAAACAAATTGCAGGTTTACAGAAAAGAGTAAGTTCTGCACTATTGTTTTTTGAAGAGATAAAAGAACATGCTACTGTATTTGTGTTATCTGCTTTCTGTGACACCAGAATTTCCAGCATTATTCTCAGATTACTAAGAACTGTAGCATATACTACAAAAAAAAAAAAAAACAAACCTGAAAAAAGACCCGATAACTGTGAAACAGTATTTTTTATTTTGCGGTTTGCAAGATCATTAAAGAGAAAAGCAAGGTTGAAATATGGAAGATACAGAAATTTAATTTTTTTTTGTAATCAGATAACTAGTTAAACATTGCTTCTACATCACCAGATCTCAGATAAGATTTACTCTGTGGACGCTGTTGTTGAAATGAATGAGTATCTCAATAGCTGTTGCAATAACCCCTTCCTTTGTAGATTCAAGAATTAGAAACTGAAAACACAGAGCTGAAAAATAAAGTTCAAGATTTGGAAAACCAGTTAAGAATCACACAAGTACATACATCTCCAGTAAGTACATGAACATAACTCTTCTGCCTGAAGTTACTCTTAAGTTTCCAGTCATTGTGTTATGACAATTATTAGCATCCGTGCTGTTTCCGGTGATTGTGATTAACGAACAGTGATCATGTGAACATACCTGTTGAAATGCAGTATTGAAGGAACAGTAGGATTGTGACAAGCCTATGAAAATGCCAGTTGCAGTCTCTCAAATTGCCGTTCTTTAATACTTCTGTCATATCTATTTGTTGCTGCCTAAAGACAGTAAATACTCATTCTAGTAGACATCTAAGCATGCCAGCTAAGGATGAAGAACTCTCTTCTGCACTTCTGAAGGATCTGGTTCATGAATGCTACTTGGGATTTTTGTAGGAACTTTCCGTCACAAGCATATTGTCACTTACAACATACATTTTCTAAATGGCTTTTGAAAAATTTCATCGGTCTTTTAAAGGAGTCATTAGGTCTCAGGAGCTAACGTTGGGCGGAAAAGTCAAAAGCAGCGAGTGTGTGTTCCTCACTGTTGGAAATGTCTAACGCTTTCTGCAGTTCCTGTAGATGATCACAGCATAAGTATTTTTAAATGATGGATGGACAGTTACTTATATCTGGGCAGGACCTCTGAAAATGCAGGTTGTGTTGCAAATTGATCCTAATGACTCCTCTCTTCTTACAAGTGTATTCTATCTATACAGAGTTAGGTAACTGTGAAAATAAATAATATTTCTTAATGTACGCATCGCAAAATTGTAGAAGATGATGGACTGCTTTTTTGGGCTGCCTTCTTCCTGCCCTGGATGTGCACCACTTCACTGTAAATGGAAATTTAGAAATTTGGGCAACGTAAAAGTATGTTTATAACGGTGATGACAATTTTTCAGTAGTGTCTCTACACTCCCTTAATTCTGATTAAATGGTTGTTCCCATGAGGAACTGTCATTTCATTTTACTGAAATCTATTTAGAGGTAAGCGCGCCATAAATTAGACACACTGCTTAACTGCCACAGTGAAAATTAGAAATTATGGATGTCTTCTCACTGACAAAGCAGTCAGTGATAGGTAATCAACTTTAATGCTAGATTTAAAATCAATTTAGGCAAATCTTTAATCTTTCCTCAATTGGGATGGCAGCTAGTTTGTTTTTGCTTACGAATACAATAACTCAGTGTGTCCTTGAATTCAATTACACAGGCTGTTAAGTCTCTTGTGCTAGATGCATTTCTCTTTCATTTAAATGAATGAAGAACTTGGTAATTTCATTTAGCAAAGAACTTAAAGAAAATTATTAATGACCAAAAAATATCCTCTAGTTTGTGATTTATTTTGTCTTTTAAGACATGGTGTCTCATTCCTTATTAAAGAGTTAAGATGAAAATTGGTAAATTTGCCAGCTGTTTGTAAGTTCTCTCCCAAAATGGTGTTTTATTGTTAATTACTGTTGGTACAACGAGTATGCATACTACTTAAATAGCACTTACCCTACAAAAAAATAATACACAGTATTGATAATTATTCATATTATAATATCAATTAATTTAAATCACTAACAGCTATTAGTTTTTACCTGTAACTGTGTTACTTTGTTTCCTCCTAAATCTTTAAAAAGAAACCCACAAACATTTGCTGTCACAAATTTCTGAGTTTCCTCAGGAATAGAGTTGCAGTAAGAGGCAGCTAACAGCCTATTTAATATCTAAATCGCTTCTGCCACAAAATAGATTTATATAAATGAACAAATACTGGAACACGTTGCCCAGAGAGGCTGGAGCATCTGTACTCCTGGCGATACTCAGAACGTCCCTGGACGTAGTCCTCAGCAGCTTCAGCTACTTGGATACTGCTTCGAGCAGGAGTTTGGATTGAGCTACTTTTCTCTGACATGATTCTCTGATCAGTTGTGCAGCCAGCAGTAAAACAAACAAACGAAAACAAACACATTTTTAGGTCAGTGTCTTTCTCAAATCTAGGAACAGAACTGTACCCATGAAACACTATCAGCTTTTGTACCTTACCAAGAGACGTCATTCGAGCGGGTCTGTTTTAAACTAGGTTGTGTACGTTGTAAATCACAGCTCTTAATTGTGCTAGCATAAAAGTACATAGAAGTGGAAAAATTTATTTCAAAATAAATGAAGGAATGGAATAGTGAGGTTATGGAGTGACCTCAGTACAGGGCAAAGGAAGTATAAATGTTTTTAAAACCACTTGAGTCAGATAAAGGGATCATAACTCAAAGTGCCTGGAATAGCAGTGCATGTGATTTGATGATACCTATCTCTTCTTTTACTGTGTGAGCAACAAATATGTATGAAGAAAGGAAGCTACAAACAATTCATAAGACAATTGATTGCCAGCTACAGTTTGCAATTAATTTTATACACTTTTAACTGAAATCAGCTATAATTTCAAGCATGACTTTGCAAAGTCTCAGCTCCTATTAGAAAAAAGCCAAAGTGACGAAAATAATATTTTCCTCTGTTTCTGCACAATTTCTGTGATGCAAAAGGTCGCTTTAGTGTTTGAAAAATTTAGAGATTTTTTTCTGAATTTAATTTTAAAACTTTTAAGTACCGTATTGCTAAAAATATCTCCACGACTGCTGCTGTGTGTCTTCAAAATTAGAAAGATAGCAGTTCTACCTTGTGATCATTTTGCCAGAGTACAATTTTCAAATCTGCTGATAGTATCTTGTCAAATACTGAAAAAAAAATAGCTTATGTAAATGAAGCAGAAATCCAACATGGGGAATAATACCTTGTCTGAGTCACTTCTAAGAACTTTTGGTTAGATCGGGGAAAACTTGCTTTCCTGCAGATACTGTTCATCTTAGTGCTATGAACATAACGTAATCATTCTTGTGATTCAAAACAGATTTATTAAACTGTAAATTTTAGGTTTTCTCACAGCTCTCCTATCCATGCTGTTGAATTCTAAAGAGATGCCAGTGCCATACGAGACCTTTCAGAAGCTTTTTTTGACATAATAAGTGATTTCATTTACCTGTCAGTCCAGTTTGACGTTATGCTGTGTGCTGAGGTCTAGGGAGGGATCATTTAATGATTGATGGAAAGTTTAAGCCCTGATACATGATAATACGATAAAAGTACATGTGCCATTAACTGCAATTTGTAATGAAATGTTCAGTTTCACAAGCCAGCTACAGGTGGTTATAAAGTTGTGTCTATGCTTAAATAGCACCCTGGATTTTTCTTATCGTGTGCTATCCTTTTTGCATTTGGCTGTTTGCACACTGTTTGTGCTTTCTCAACATTGGCGCGATGTGCTGAAGTGGCTTTCCTGTCCTAGAGGTTGTTGACTGTGCTCTTCCTTTAGTGATTAATGCATGGGCACAGAAACACTTGGTAATCAGCAATTGACTTAGCACTTAAGAAGTCAACACTAGCAACTTGATTAAACAAGTATATACTTCAAGAAGCAGATGTTGCAAGGGCTTGTGATGACAATCCACAGGACATAACAAATACAAATATTGAAATCAGATTGTGTACTATGTCCTCTTCTCCTTCAGTCCTCATCCCTGTGGAGGGGGGACCGCAAGCTGTAGAATCATAGAATCATTAAGGTTTAAAAAGACCTGTAAGATCATCAAGTCCAACCATCAACCCACCACCACCATGCTTACTAAACCATGTCCTGAAGTGCCACATCTACACGTTTTCTGAACACCTCCAGGGATGGGGATGCCACCACTTCCCTGAGCGGCCTATTCCAATGCCTGACCACTCTTTCAGTAAAGAAATTTTTCCTAATATCCAGTCTAAACCTCCCCTGACGCAACTCGAGGCCGTTGCCTCTCATCCTATTGCCTGTTACTTGGGAGAAGAGACCAACACCTGCCACACTACAACCTCTTTTCAGGTAGTTGTAGAGAGCAATAAGGTCCCCCCTCAGCCTCCTGCAGACTAAACCACCCCAGTTCCCTCAGCCGTTCCTCACAAGACTTGTTCTCCAGAACCCTCACCAGCCTTGTTGCCCTTCTCTGGACACTCTCCAGCACCTCAACGTCCTTGTAGTGAGGGGCCCAAAACTGAACACAGTGTCTGAGGTGTGGCCTCACCAGTGGTGAGTACAGGGTCACAATCAGTCCCCTACTCCCGCTGGCCACACTGTTCCTGATGCGAGCCAGGATGCCGTTGGCCTTCTTGGCCACCTGGGCCATGCGGGCTAAGTGGATGTAATTTCAGGCTGACAGTGAGGTGTCTATTTTCCTTCCTCATGAGAGAAGGCTTAGTATTTTTACTATTTGTTGCATCTATAGTGTGTAACAGTGCTGTTACAGACACCAAGTGATGTCACTGTCACGCTGTATTTGTTGAAATACTGATCCGGGACAGACTGCCTTTCCCACCTGTCAGTAACAGAGAAACCTTCATATCATTTGTATGCAGTGCCAGTCTGTCGTTCCTTTACTCCTGCTTCTTCCTGAAGTTGGTTGATTTTTGTGTTTTTAATTACTCTAGACACGTTAGTCTCCCCATTAATTTTTAATGAAATGAAGTAGGTAGAAAATACATTTAAGTTCACTTCTTTTTGTATTATTTCACTGACTCTTGAAGCTGTAGGTTTTGGGGTTTTTTTTTAAAGCCATTTCTGCTTTTTCTGACAGTGAAGCTAAAGCTCAGGTCTTCTGATTCCCAGACGTTTTCGCATGAACAGGACCAGATTGCATCTCCTGTTCTCGCTTCAGTATCAAAAAGGCAATAGAATCTGAAAGCACCTTTAGACTGGATTGATAACTTTAATATATATACGGTTTTAAATGGTATGGCTCATTGCACATTGAGAAAAAAAAATCTAGTCTCAGCATGCTTCAGTTCTAAGTAGATACATCCAGACTGTCACTGAAAATAAATTTTTCAAACTTGCCGTTGTCATTGAGAATAGGCTTGCTAGCTGAATATGGAGACAGACATAAAGCCATATGCTGGGACTCATACTCGGGACCAAATGTAATACTGTCAAGACTTAAAATTCAGATCCTCGTTTA